CAGACTTCTAATTGTACAGAAACACTCTGCTTTTTGAGAAACTAACGCTCTTTTTGGGTAAGACAGTTAATTGGCTTTGGCTACACCCATCTTTTTTGAGACTGGGGAAGATGTCCCTGTCTGTCCTCTGTTCAGTCATGCCCTCTGATGTCACCCCACAGGCGGGAGACCTTTGATTTTGATGATGACTGTGACAGCCTGACTTGGGAGGAGAATGAAGACACGCTGTTGTTATGGGAGGATTTTACCAACTGTAACCCGACCATTGACCTACAGGGCGAGGTGAGCCTGGGACCTGCCTTCTCTGGGGCTTGCCTCTTTCCCATGATCCCTTGTTTTTACCCTTTTTATGCAGCCTGTTCTCCCCAGCTAAACTGTCTCCTCTGTCTCCCCAGCAAGAAGAAAACTTGGGCAACTTGATCCATGAGACTGAATCCTTCTTCAAGACGAGAGACAAGGAGTACCAGGAGACGATAGGCCAGATCGAGGTGAGATCTCGGCCATGGGGTCTGCTATTGAGTCTCCTGGGGGCTGCATAGTTGAGCTGGGTGGTTAGTGTCCATGGAAATGCAGGCTTACAAAATGGGACAAGCAAGGGGGTCAAGAGTCAGGAGCCTGGCATTGCAAACCTGTCCTTATTAGGATGTTAGTTCCCTAATCTGTAAAGTCAGACAGTGATTCCTGCCTACCCTAAAGAGGCGGAGGCAGGAGAGTGCCAATAACAGCCTTACCCAATGCCTAGTATCATTTGGCGTCACTCCGAAGTCAGCTCTCGTTGTTCTGGGTTTTCTTTACCTCCTCCTCTGCTGTAGGAACTGGGTACCCATACAGAGGAGGAAATGATGTCAAAAGAGGCCACGTCACTTGCCCACTGTTTCCAAGTCAGGAAGCAGTAGTCAGGCCAGTGCTGGGCCACTGCTATACAAGAGTGAGTGCTCTTACCGTGTTGGAGAAGAAGCCCAGAGTCCTCCTCTGCCCTGGAGAAGCAGTTGTCATGGTACAGGAGAAGGCTCAGAGACATGAAGAGCTTCCTGTTCGTGTCCATAACCAGTTCCCCAGAGATGCTGAGTACAGGGAAGTCCCCTGAATCAGATGGGACTTAGCCGGATAGACCTCTGGGGTTGCTAAGCAACCACCCCTCTTTTGACCAGAAGCATGTGTAAAGAGAGTTGACCATTGTGCAGAGAATAAGGAAGGTTGATACCCAAAGGCAGGGATTTACGGTTACAGTGTCCAGGGATGGCCTGGATGGTGCCAGGGTTGGCCTGGGTGGAGGAGGGTGGTTTCTGTTGCTGGTAACCCGAGGTCCAAAGGTCCCCCTCACCACCTTTATTCCTCGTCGACTCCTTCCAGCTGGAGCTGGCCACAGCCAAGAGCGACATGAACCGACATCTACACGAGTATATGGAGATGTGCAGCATGAAGCGAGGCCTGGATGTGCAGATGGAGACCTGCCGCCGGCTCATCAAGGGCTCTGCAGACAGGTGCGGCCCGTGCTGGGGCCTTAGAGAGACATTCTGGGGCTGCATCATGCCCCTTCACCTCATTCCCATTTTCCTGTCCATCTGTCTGCCCACCCACCCACCCACCTAAGCCCCCAGTATAAGCACTGTTACTGTAGGCAGGTGGAACTACTTGCCAGGGACGCCCTCAGGCAAACGGAAACCTGGGCTGTTTCCTCCACTGTGTGTGGTCCCCGTAAGTTCTCAGTTGTCTGGGCTTTCCTGGGTACCACTTTGTGCTCAGACCAGGAATGATGGATGGCTACAACGTAAAGAACCAAGCTGGACCCGTGACTCCCGTTCCCAAGGGGAAGCCACACACTATAGACTAAGCAGTGGCTGGGGCGGGGGCTCCCAAGGAGTCACAAGAGCCATAAACAGCTCATGGAACCCGCAGGACCCCTGGGGGTAGATCCTGTTTAGTTCCTGTTACGTTATTGCAGGGGATTGAACCCAGGGCCTCGTGCACCTAGGCAAATGTTCTGCTCACCCCAGCCCCTTTGGGTGCCTTTTGACACGTGTGACTGCCCAGAGTTCCTGGCCCTAGGATGTCAGGGGATCCGGGCTGCTTGCTGAAAGTCTCCCCTTTCTCCCACGCTTTGCAGGAATTCACCGTCCCCCAGCTCTGTGGCCAGCAGTGACTCAGGAAGTACAGATGAGATCCAGGATGACTTGGAGCGGGAGGCGGATGTGGAGCCCATGGTCAGCTGATAACGGAGGCCCCGCGCAACTGGTGGTCTCGGTGATGGGGCACAGCCTCCTCTCCTCACTGAGCCACGAGGGCTCCTCGCCACAGAGACTTCTGTCCTCCCTTCTCCGGAGGCCCAGCGGGACCGCTGCTTCCTTCCTTCCTTGACCACCCACCCACCCACCCACCCACGGAATGGTGCTGTCGATTTTCTATCGTTCTCCACATCACAATTGCAGACTTCTGTGCGGCAGTGCAGTGCAATGTGCCTTCTCCCTTAAGCTGAGCCACTTTGAGCTCCAAAGAATTCTTCCTAGCAGGTGTTTTTTATACAAAACTCTAAGGTGAGGGTGGGGCCTGGGGTGTGGTATCTTTTGGTTTTTCTTCCTCTCACCTGCTCCCCTGATTGGCCATGAGCTTCGTCCTCCCTCCCCATGTCCTGGCCCTGACTAGAAGTCAAGTCGGTGGCCATTTGGGGGAGTCTGCCTTCCAGAGGAAGGAGGCTGTTTACCTGCAGACCTGGGTGAGGACTCCTTAATACTTTCTCACCCACTGAAAGAGAGAGGTGGATGGAATGGCGGGAGGGAAGACCAATCTTTTTTTTCCTTTGGATCTAGTGGCAATGTGTTGGGTCAAGGCACTGTGGGGGACGGTAGAGCCTCACTGTTTAAACTATGCAAAAAACAAAAACAAAAACAAAAAGCAGCTTGCCTTATATCAGTGGGAAGGCAGGCCCTCTCTCAGACTCCTGGGAAACCCTCATAGCCTCTGAGGGTGAGCCGTGGATCTGGGGGTAGTCCCATTCAGGTCTCTGGTGAGGCCTGCATTCTGTAAGCTGGCCTACTGGACTGCTGGCTTTCTTGGGGACCTCTGTGGGGTGGGGAGGGTGGGGTGGTGGTCTTTTATTGTCCTGATGACTTGATGTTCCTTCCCGCCTCTCCAGCCACCTGCCAGGTTCCACAATTGTAATTTCTCTGTGAGAAAAGTATGAATGGGCCAGGTCACTGGTACCCACTCCGTCCGCCATGGCGCCATCTTGGTCCTCCATTGTTCCTCTGGCTGGAAAAAAAAAAAAGCCTTGTGAGGGAGGAAGAGGGAGGTGGTGGGGCTCCTGGCAGGCTGGCAGTAGCCAGAGTAGAAGCCCCAAGTGAGGAGTGTCCATAGCCACTTGGTTGGACTCTTGGAGAGTCACTCTGAGCCAGTGTTTCCCCAAGGCTGCAATGGCCTGAGTTGAGGGACCGTAAGACAGACCATCCATCTAGTCTCAGCTGGGAACTCGCCTAGCAGTCAGGTTTTATTTTTATTTTACTTGTTCTTATTTTTGTATCGACTCTAGTGGTTTTGATGGCCTATGTTGTTTTTTGTTGACCCAGCAGCTCCCTCTGGAGGTCAAAGGAACAAAATGTACCCAGGGACCAGAACTCATGGGCCCTCTGAGGCCTGTGTGTTGAAGGACAGGGGACTCTGGGCTGGAGCCGTGGTGGGACCCTGATTGTCCCCTGCGTCCTTGTATCTCTGTGTGTGAGTGACCCCATCTGTTTTGCATTTAGAACAAGTGTATATAATAGGCAAATGTATGTATAGAGAGGAGAGAGAATGTTATTTGTTGGCAACTTGTTTATCTAATTTATCAGAATTTGGTGGCCTTTCTCACGTGGTTGAATGGGGGGTGGGGTACATCCTGTGCAGCCTGGCTGCAACATTCAGTTATCATCTCTTGATGACCAAACTGTCCTTCCCGGCAGGTACTTGGAGGGACAATGGTTTGGAAGAGACACAGCCCCTTCCCTCACCCCCTTTCCCACCTCCCATTCTTTTAAAGGTTACAGGGTTCATTAGCTTCTGGTTATTATTATTATTGTTATTATTGTTATTATTGTTTTGTTTGTATTTTAACCAAAGGGTATCAGAGCCAGATGGGCCTGGACCTTAGCTGCTGTAAAAAAGATTTCCGTTTCTGTGAGGGCAGGAAGATGGCTGCCCCCATGGGTGTGTTCAGCTGAGGCTGGGGAAGGTGTCCATCCAGTGGTAGAGGCTGGGAGTTGGGCAGGCAGAGTAGAAGCTGGCCCTTAGCTGTTCTTCAAGGTGGCGGTGTGGTGACACATATCTCTAGAGTTAAGACAGTAAGCTATAGTATAAACATTTGGGGTGACGAAGGTTACCCTGGAAACTGGTGTCCTGTGGTGTTATTTTTTGCTTTTCCAACTGTATACATAGGTCATTTGTCTAGGGCATTGAGAAAGGCAGGCTCGGGCGTGTTCCTTCCTGCGGGCTTTCAAAGTCTGCTTTCTCCTAGAGAGAGAGGCTCCAAGGCAGGAGGATGATGGGAGAAGAGCGAGGGATTGGTGGGCATGCCTCCTGGGCTGGTTCTGGAGTCTGGGCCTGGCCTCCACTCTCTCTCTTTCTCTCTCTCTCTCTTTTTTCAGTTTGTTGCCAGTGGGTCCTGCTTGTCCCCTCACTGTGAGCCCACAGCTTGCCAAGAAAGACCCCACCGCTCACTGGGGCAGCGCCTGCCCATCCTGGACGGACTCGTCCATCCTTGTAAACATGTGCATACTTCCTTTTGAGTTTTCTTTTTCTGAGCCCGGTGTCATATTGACACTGGCGTTTCAGGGCTTCTCAGATGGGCTCTCCATGTCACCCTTGGGCACGCTCCTATTTGGGGGGAGGGCCACGTACACAGGCACAGCAGGGAGACAGCTGCATCCTTTCAGGTCCCTGGTTGGTTGTGAAACACACACACTCACACACACATACTCACACACACACCCACTCACACTCCTCTAAGACTCCAAAGGAGAATGATTGGGTAGAAGTTTTGTCTCCCTGTGGCCTTGTGTCTGGAAGGCCTGTCCACTTTGGACTCTGCTCCAGGGGTGGAGCTCAGATGACCTGTGGCGCATCAGGCCACTTTGATGTGGGGCGGGAGGAGAGGGGGTGGGCTAAGGGATGTGATAAGGTGTAACTTAAGCTAAATGTATTCTATTTATAAAGCAAGAGACTCTATTTTTGTGAAAGGATCAGGTTTTTAATCTAGGGTAGGCAGTCGCGGTGGCCCAGCACTCTGCTGTGGATGAGATGCCACCATGCTTGTTGACTCGGGGGACTTAACACTGAGTTCCCCTCTCCTCCCCTTGCCGCCCGTCGTCAATGCACACAGCTGTGCAGAAATGGATTCTTCTCTCCTCAGCCCTCAGTGCTGTCCTTGGAAGTCTCGGAAGAGAGCTGGGGGTGGGGGGAGGTAGGAAGGAGGGCGGGCAAGTGACCGCAGGAAACTGAGGTGGGGGAAGGGGTGCTTCAGAGGTAGGGTATAATGTTTCTGCAGCTCCCCTCTGTTCCCACTCAGCTGTGCGGGGATAGAGCTTGTGGGCTTGGGGAATACGGGTGCCTGGGGCTTACTGTGTCTGAAGTTACCAGGCAGCTGGAGTAGGCACAGAAGGGACCCCCAAGATGCTCAGAGCTCAGCCCTGGTGGTGTCTACTCCAGGCCAAGGTAGAGCTTGCAGTCTTTGTTCCCTGGAAGATTGCCTCAGACCTGGGTCCTCTCTCTGGGACCCCAAGTTTGGGTTTTGAAGGGTAACCACCTACCAGGGGAGGGGTCTGAGCGAAGCCATGCAGTCTCTCTGGGAGGGGATTTTCCATTGTGTGAAGATCTCCAGGCTCAGTGTGGGCTCTGTGTGAGTCTTAGGTCAACCCCTTACCTTTCCCGTTCCCTCCCACGCTCTCAGAGAAACGTGGTGAGCTCCCCACAAGGACCCCTTTATGCACACTGTAGCATCTACCTGGTTTTTAGTCCCACCCTACCCCACGGTTGCTGTGTCTGTCAGCTGGGTCTGAAAATCACTGGGAGGGGTTTGTACTCACTAAAAGACTACTGACCCTACCAGAAAATCAACCTGTTTACTGTACTGTTGTAAATACCGTGCCCTTTATATCCTGTATATTGGCTTCTTTTAAATAAAATAAAAATGTCTTAGAACAGACTGTGTGTGCTGCTTTTTGTCACGGCGATTGTGGGAGGGGTCAGAAGACTAAAGCAAACACATTAGCCAATCAGTGATAAGATATTAACCAATCAGTGATAAGATGGGGGACTCCTGTTTGCTTCTCACAGTGAGACCTTCCAGAAGGAGATAAGGCAGGACTTGACCGAAGAGCCCAGGCTAATTGGCACTGTCCGGTTTGAAGTTGAGGTCCCACCAGCTCCAAAGCCCCCATTTCACAAACCTCCCCTGAGTATCTACAAGAAGCACCTGCTGGGCTCTGGATTCGATTCTGTCCACTGTTCCAGTGACTTTTATTTAGTGGCCACTTTCAAAAGTGTCATCCCTCTGCCGTGCACCATCTTTCCCAGGGATGAAGAGAAGCTGCTGCTTGCTCATATTTATGCTGTGCCCTTTTCCTACTCAATGTTCTTGGCTCAGGTCTCCCAAGGTGTCTCCCATGGTGTAACTGAGCGGAAGGGAGAAGCTCAAGGTGGTGGGCGGGCGTTCGAGGTGGACACTATCATCCTAGCCTGCAGCAGAGGAAACAGGCCCAGAGGGGCTGGACTGGATAGTTTCTATGACAACTTGACACAAGCAGGAGCCCTCTGAAAGGAGGGAACCAAGTCTGGGAAAAGGCTCCCAAAGATCAAGCTGTGGTTAAGCCTGCATGGCATTTTCTTAATTGATCGGGGAGGGACCATCCCATTGTGGGCAGTGCCACCCCTGGGCTGGTGGGTTTGGGTCCTATAAGAAAGCCGAGAAAGCCAGTAAGCAGCATCCCTCCATGGGCCTCTGCATCCATTCCTGCCTCCAGGATTATACCCTGACTTCCTTCAATGATGAACCCCAATGTGGAAGTGTAAGCCAATAAACCCTTTTCTCTTCAGCTTGCTTTAGGTCATGGTGTTTCATCACAGCAATAGTAACCCTAAGACAGAGACTAATTTGCCCAGTGTGGTATCAAATTAGAACTGGATAGAAGTGACCTTACAGCAAATGCCCAAGTCACACTGCCACAGACATAGAAACACATACTGGAATCTTGGGAATATAGTGGTTTCCTCAGGCATTATTCTAAGAGCAAGCTTTAGAAGCAGTTTTTTTGGGGGAGGGGGCGGGTGGAGGGGGTGGTGGTTCGAGACAGGGTTTCTTGGTGTGGCTTTGGCTGACCTGGAACTAGTTCTGTAGATCAGGCTGGCCTTGAACACAGAGATCTGTCTGCCTCTGCCTCCCTAGTGCTGGGATTAAAGGCATGCTCCACCACCGCCTCGCTCAGAAGCAGTTTTAATATGTTCGAATATTCATCAAGTAACTTCTCATGCAGAAAACTGATATTTTTTTCCAGGGGACAGAGGGACACAGAGGAAAATCTTTTTTTGTGGGGCAGAGGCTGAAAAAAAAAAAAGAGAGAGAGAAAGAAAAAGACGGAAGGAAAGAAAAAAAGAAAAAGAAAAATGCTAAGCACAGGCCCGCTATGGTTTTATCTCATTCTGATCCCAATCTGGAAGGAAGCAGGCCCTGGTAGTTGGCTTGGCCCTGTGCCAGAGTGGGAGGGCAGGCCAGGCTCCATCCAGGGCGGTAGCCCCGGGGTGGCGGCGGGGAGCTGGCCTTAGTGTGACCCCGAGGGAGGGCTCGTGCAGAATGATGATCCGCAGGTGGCCAGCCTTCTAGTAGCCAAGGTTCTGGGACCCCTGCTGCACCTGTCGCGTGGATCTGGTCCCTCTACTCCATCTACTACTGAGCACTTGGGCCAATCAGGATCGGGCATTAGCTACTGCAACTCTCCGACCCGACCTAAGAAGTAGGCAACTTGCGAGTCCCGCTGATTGGCCTGGAGGCTTCCATGTGTGACTGTGATTGGTCAATGAGGCTTACGCCCTCTTGCCTTGGGTCATACCATAAGGAGAGGAGGAGACGAGAAAAGTTCATCTATTTTAGCGCATTTCTGCCAGGTTCCCTTACGCCGCGGTTCACAGTGACATTTATGATGCTAATTAAGGCTGCTGTTTATTGACAGGAGGGGGTATTGGCGCAGAGGGACCCCAAGGCAGGTGGACCGGATGATACTGCTCCTCCCGCAGAGGTGGTGCGCTCCAGTTTTGACTAGTCCAACCTCGCAGGGAGGACTCGGAGCTTCCCACAGACGCTCGGGACTTTCAGACTCCTCTCGGTGCTATTCGTTCCAGTGCTGAGCCGAGCCATGCTTTCCCACGTCTGGAGGAGCGCAGGGTGAGTGAACCCTTTGCTACCAGAGCCCTGAGAATGGCGGGCGACTCCCTCCCTGCGGGTGCTCTGAGCTTCAGTCACCCTCTCCCAAATTCCCAAGACTCCCCTAAATTGGAGGGTCGTGTCCTGCAGAGTCACTCTCCCATGGAGACCCGGCCCTCTTCCTGGGTCTCCTTAGATGGTCTCTTTTCCTTAGTCAAGTCCCCCTACTCCCCAGCGCTGACTCCTGCGGTCGGGTGTAGTGCCTGGACAGTGTCGCACGTCCCGTTTCTTCACTCCTCTTCCTCCGAACGCGGAATATTCCAAATTTGTTGACTCTCCCAGCCCTAGGACATTCCTCAGTTCACGTTCTGGAGCCTCCTGATAATCCCGGGGACTTATCCATTCCACTCCCTTTACAGTTCAATATTGGGCTTTTGTTTTTCAGTGGGTGTCATAATGACTTTTATAAACGTGTGATGCTGGGTTCTGAATGGTTTACGGCTTGAGATTTAAATAAATTCATTAAGATAAATTCTTGCCAGGCGGTGGTTGCACACACCTTTAATCCCAGCTCTGTGGAGACCTAGGCAGGTGAATCCCTGTGAGTTCAAGGCCTGCGTGGTCTACAAAGCGAGTTCCAGGACAACCAGGACTACGCAGAGAAGCCCTGTCTGGGGGTGGGGGGGTGAGAAGTATTTGGTTAGCACTTGGAAGGCAGAGGGAGGGTTCAAGGCCAGGGCTACTACACCTGTCTAAACTGCCACTTTTGTTCAGATTTCTCATAAGACGTAGATACAGTCATTACAATAATGAAGAACCGGACAATCTCCAGGACAGTGCTGTTCGCTCTTCAGATCCAATTGCACAGCTGCTTTTCAGCGGGAACCTTAGCACCCTCACCAAGATCCTGGTCCAGTGGGACTCAGCACAGCCAGTTGGGTGTGGGTGTGATTCCATCCATTCTGTCTGCCTTTTAGAGTTACACAGCACCCGCACCCCCACTTTAGTTGCTACTTGCTGGCTCTGTGGCCTGCGACCCATTGAGTCTTCCTCCACTGAATTGTGATCTTTCTGAGTTAATCAGTGAGCCTTTCCCTGCCCTTCCTCCCTGCCCCCTCCATGGGATGTCATGGGCAAGTTCCAACTCTTCTGTATGTTCTGGTGGGGAGCTGTCAGGAAGAGGAGATGGGATTGCAGTGTGTGTGCTTCTCTTTCAGATTGAGACTCCAGTTCTTCACCTCCTGGACTGAGACCACCCACTGCTTAGTGGTGAGAAAGGCATATAGACACAAAGACCCCCTGATGGGCTGTAGAAGGCAGTCCACATTATAAAACAGTTCCGAAGAGCAGTATCATTTAGCACGCTAACAAGTCGATGGATTCCAATGCCGCCGCCGAGCCTAGGAACTTGCTTAGTCCCCGTTGGCAACTGGGGAACTTTTTCTGCCTGTTCGGGCAGATGTAACTGGAGTTGTAGTTTGATCTTGATCCAGATCTCCGCTCTTCAGTGTGGCGACTCCTGAACCGCTCGCTGGTGGGAAGAGGGAGGATTTTGCAACCAGTTCTCTGGGCTCTGGCTGCCTGCTTTTTTGTACAGCACGCTGGCCTGGCAGGATGCCCAGATAGGTTTCTTAACAACAGCAGCGTTCGTTAGTTAGTTCCTTCGTTCGTTCGTTCATTCATTCATTCACCCACCTTTGGGGCAGGTACTTGGGGGCTGCTCTACCCTGCAAATGCTTAGCCGCACTTCCAACCTGTGCCTCTAGTGCCAGTGGCTTCTTCAGTCATGACAAGCTTCAGAGGTCTTTTTGTTGTCGCTGGTTGAGAGGCACAATCCTAGGACAGCTGTAGTTGTTTGGTTCCTCATTCTTTGTTTGTTTGTTTGTTTTTTCAAGACAGACTTTCTCTGTGTAACAGCCCTGGCTGTCCTGGACTCACTCTGCAGATCAGGCTGGTTTTAAGCTCGCAGAGATCCACCTGTCTCTGTCTCCTAAGGACTGGGATCAAAGATGTGCACCACTGCACCCGGTCTTCTCTTTTTCTTGGTTTTTCTTTGTTTTTTTTTTTTTTTTTTTTTTTTTTTTTTTTTTTTTTTTTTTTTTTTTTTTTTTTTTTTTTTTTTTTTTTTTTTTTTTTTTTTTTTTGTCATTTTGTGTTCTTAGTGGATTGTGGACTCGCATCCGATCCCTGGTTCCATTCCTAGGGTTATGTGAATGAAACTATTTTAAAATCTGAAGAGATAATGAAATCCAAAAGACTGGTGGTCCTACACATTGTGGGTAAAAGCCACATACTTACCTTCTCTTTCATAGGCCTGTCATCTCCCACTGGACGTCCCCAGGACGTGGAGCTGCGACTGACACCTGCTAATTAATCCCTGGGCAAACACTGAGTAAATGAATGAGCTCACCAGTGAGCCTTCCTTCCTAGCAGACAGTTGATCACCTCACCATGTGGCCTTGGAGAAGGGGGTGGTGACAGTGGCTTTGGCTTGTCTTTTTTTTTTTTTTTTTTCCTTTTCTTTTCTTTGAGACGCTCCAGTAGCCCAGGCTGACCTTGATGTTACTCTATAGCTGAGGGTGGCATTGAACTTCTGATCCTTCAGAAGGCTTTCACTTCTGAGGCGCTGGGACTACGAGGGTGCACCACCATGCTGAGGTTATACAGTGCCGAGGCCGGAACCCTGGGCTTTTGGTTTGTTGAGTTTTTCTGTAAGGGCTGGGAATGCAGCCCTGTGTTGAGTGCTTGCCTAGGACCTGAGTCCCATCCCCAGCAATACAATGTGCACAT